TATGTCTGACTCTGATATATATATATTTCAGGTTGGGTTGGAGAAGTTGGCCACAGAGCACACTCGACTGATCTACATGACAACTGGAGTCCTTCTGCAAAAACTGGTTTCAGCCAAATGCCTCACAGAGTTTTCACACATTTTTGTGGATGAGGTGCATAAACATATCAAAAATATCCCTCAAAATGGAAATAAAAGCTTATTATTTTTTTGTTTGTCCCTCTTTATACTGAGCTTGTCTTAAATGTGGTCTATTTTTGGCTGCAGGTTCACGAGCGCTCAGAGGAGATGGACTTCCTGCTGTTGGTTTTAAGAAAACTTCTTCATTCCAACTCTCGTTATGTCAAGGTATTTGTTACATTAAACATTTTTCTTGTTCATCAATTGTTTTGTCACTCCAGTAACTTTTTTTTTTGGCCAGATAATCCTCATGTCAGCTACCATTAACTGCAGAGAGTTTGCCGAGTACTTCGCCACACCAGTTCACGGTAAAATGAGCCCCGCTTATGTGTTTGAAGTGGAGGGGGCACCCTATCCTGTTGAGGAGTTTTACTTGGATGATCTCCACAAACTTCTTCCATGCAGGGTAAAAATAAATCAGAGAAATGTATTTTTATGCTGCAGTTTTGTACCAAACTAGCTAAAGTGTAAAGATTGTCTTATCCAGGTTGGGTCGCCTCATCCAGATGATCCTTGTATCTCACCGGAGATGTACAGTCTTGCCGTCACTCTCATCCAAAGCTTTGATGAAATGGAAAACAAGAATTTTTGGTGAGGCGGAATTAAATTAATTATTTGATCTGATCAAAGCTGCTAATTGAAAAAATAATTGGTTTGTCTTCTTTGTGTGCATTTGACTGAGAAGCCAGACGGAGACAAATGAGGGGATGACTTTCTCAGAAACAGGAAGTGTTTTGGTTTTCCTTCCTGGTTTACATGAAATACACTACATGCAGGACGCCCTGGCAAAACTGGTGTTCAAAAGGTGAGCCATTGACAGAAATTAAATATTTCTGCTGAAGCGTTTACTTGATTTAAAAACATTAAAACCACAACCATATGCTGTTTTCTTTTTGCACGTAGACAATTCAAACAGAAAACAGTGAATGGAAGCGAAGCAAAACAGAGACTCACTCATGAAACTTATGCTTATTTGGCTTGAGTTTGTTTTTGTTTGCTTTGAAATAACCTTGATGTGCATTTGGAAAGTTGAAATGATTCCGACAAACAACTTCCGTTAGCTCTACGATGTCCCTTTGCACTTAAAAACATTATATATATATATAAAGAATAATGTTGACATTTTGTTTTACAATAAATGTGGTGCTGTGGTCAGATTCCAGGTTTATCCCCTCCACTCGACAGTTACGCTAGAAGAACAGAACAGTGTTTTTCATCCTCCTGTACCAGGATACAGGAAGGTAAAAACTGCCCTTTTTATCCTGATATAATGTTTTTTTATATATATTTTTTTGCATTACTGATTATTAATTTTTTCATTTAGGTGATCCTTTCCACCAACATTGCAGAGAGTTCAGTGACTGTTCCAGATGTCAAATATGGTCTTTTACTTTTTAATTTAAATTACATTTCCCCTTTGTTTTATTTTTAAAAAAGTCATTATTTAAGTTGATTCTTTTCCCCACAGTGATTGATTTCTGCTTGGCTCGTCACTTGGTCTGTGACAACGAGACTAATTATCAGTCTCTGCGTCTGACCTGGGCATCCAAAACCAACTGCAACCAACGTAAAGGTAAAACCACAATAGCAACGATCTTTAAAGAGTGCATATACGTTTCCTCCTGTTTCTTACATTTATTATGTTCCCTATAAGGCAGGGCAGGTCGAGTGTCAAAGGGCTATTGTTACCGACTTGTCACCAAAGCTTTCTGGAGGGATGAAATTCCTGACTTCATGATTCCTGACATGCTTGTAAGAGAATATTGATCAATATCTTTTTAGGATTTTAGCCTTTATAATCCAGCACTGACCTTGTAAGCTCTATGTTTTCCCTTTTGTCAGCTTGCTCCCCTGTCTACCATCATGTTGAAGGTGAAGCTTTTGGACATGGGAGATCCTCGCTCCCTCCTCTCCACAGCACTCTCACCTCCCAACCTGAGTGACATTGTTAGGACTGTGCTTCAACTCAAGGAGGCCAGTAAAACAGTCCAGAGGGACAATTTTCCTCTTTAAAACCTATCGGTGTATAGTCAGGTTCATGCAGTGGCTGCTATAGTGATAATATGTATTCACCACCAGTGTCCCTCACGTATTATTTCATGAGTTTTATGGTGGACTTCATGTGTAGTCCTTCAGAGTTGTGTACGAGCACAGTAGGGCAATGTGTTGCAGTTTATTTGGCTGCAGGGAAAGTCTACAGTTCTTTTTTGTTTTTTAGAAATACGTTTGATGTAAATGTTTGCAACTTTCCAACAATTGTAAATCTTTTTAACTAGGAATTTTTTTTTTATATATATATATAAAATATTGAATTAAAAATAATCTAATAGTTTGACATCAGATGAATGTGTTCTTCTTCAGATGGGTGCTCTGTCGGCAAAAAACGAGTCCAGAAGTCAAAATGACGATGGCGAGTTGACGTTCCTTGGCCGAGTTCTGGCCCACTTACCTGTGGATCTGTACCTGGGGAAGATGATTGTTCTGGGTCACGTCTTTGGCTGCCTGGATGAATGTCTCATTATAGGTCAGTTTGTCATCTTCCTTCTGAAAACAGCCTGTTCCTTTTCTTTGTGCAAATGTTTACAGCTGTACAGACATGACTTGGGTCAACAAATATACCGATATACAGTTTTATCTTAGCTTATACCCAGAATGCACCTTTAGAAATGTTTGTATAAACTGGAATAGCAAAAAAAATAGCATGTGGTTTGCTTTTGGAGTTGCTGTTTGTAATTCTGTGTGGCTCTGGAAGTCCATTTATCATAAGTGTTGTAATGGTTTTGTTGGTTCTAGGGCAGAGCTATTCAACTAAACTGCTCAGGGGGACACAGTTACTGAAAGCCAGCAGCTCGAGGGCCGAACATCCAGCAATAAAGTCATTATGTAAATAAACCAAGTATTACAATGATCTTTTACCTTTTAAATTAGTTTATTTTGCTGCGTTGAATCATAAATGCAATAAACGGAACCCAAAAGTGTAACTCAAAGGAAGTACATTTCAAGATTTATTTCCTTGCAATAAAAGTAGTGATATTCTAATGTAAAACAATATTAAAAACAAAAAATGACTCACTATGCCTCCTATATTACACAAATATTCTGCCATCTCTGAGTTGCCAAATCTTTACACTTCAAAATAAATTTAAAAAAAAGTTTACTCTTGTTTTTATTTTGTTCCCTGAATGACCAACATGTTGCTGTTCCACGTGAGTTCATTAACAGCCAGTTCTCATTTATAAGAAAATGGCTACACAGACCAGTTCGGTTCATAAATCACAGGTGAAGTGTCCACGTCCTGCTCAGGTGGGAGCTTTGAGTGGAACCAAAAGAGGCGGAGCAGAACTCAGCTGGGATGAAAGCGAGCATGATGCGTGCCGAACGTCTCCCTTGTGTCATTTACTAAATGAATTGTCAGTCGAGCCTATTTTTGTTTAACTATTTTAAAACTAACTACAAAGCCTTTCAACTCATATTTTTGCTAATTTAGTTCTTGTAATTAAACATTATTAACACCAAAACACAGATATTTGTAGGCCCCAGATTAAAGCAAAGATGTGTCTCCGTTTAACTTTGTTATATTTTTCCCCAAACTCAAACTTTTCTCTCTGAGAGAGTCACAGAGCAACTGTAGTAGCTGCAAAGCATGCTGGGTAGCCTTGTGGAAATTATATTTGCAACATTTCTGGCTTTTTACGATGTTTCTGAGTGTGGAAATGGGTTCTAGTTAATGTCCTGTTCAGGTATGCTTTTGTTGAAGTCTCTGTTATTGGCTGTAAACTGAGGGTTTCCCCTACCATTGTACAAGTGGGGTGCACCATCCCATCAACAGAACACCCCACCTACCCACCCAAACTTGTCCCACCATGCTGAAGTGTCATGAGATGATGACATGGAAATGTAGACAGTCACATTTTTTTATTATGGCTTTTGCCTTGTTTTAATTTAGACTAAGCAGGTACTGTATATAAGCAGGTTACATTGGGTGCTACTATGTGCTGATGTGCTTCTTGTTTAAAACCATCTCAAATTGAACTTAACCATTTCTTTTCCTCTCTAAGTGGTCCATCCTGTGTAAAATGTCTTTATATGAATGCTTACATGACTTCCTGTCCTCTCTTTAGCTGCCTCACACTCTCTGAAAAGCTTCTTTGCTATTCCATGCATGCGTCAGCTTGCAGGCTACAGGTGAGTAACTTCCAGTATTTGAACTTCAAGGACACCTGCAGACTGAGACAGTTTTCATCAGACGTCTTTCTTTATTCAGCTCTCTTGAGTGTTAAGATACCATGTAGGTGCTGCATAAACTCTGTGTGGGCTCTGTGTGTGTTTTTATAATATTTTGTTCTTTTCAGGAACAAGCTGGCTTTTGCTCGTGGCACGCCAAGTGATTCAATAGCCTTTGTCAATGCCTTCAAGGTGATGCAAAATTTTTAATAAAAAATATTTATGCTTGATTCATGTTTTACTGTTTTTTTTGTTTTGTTTTCTGCCTCCTTTTAGGCATGGTACTCATCAAGACAACAAGGACAACTGAGACACCCCAAGGTAAAGGCTATACAGAAACAATACCTCACTGAAAAAAACGTGCACATTAAGGTCCAATGATCTGAGTCAACATGGTTCATTAAGAAATAACTTGTGTCAAAAACAATGTCTGATTTTTAAAGTTATGGGGATTTTTTGTGTGTGTGTGAAAAAGGCCCTCTGGTTATTATTGTTGTCTAATGGCAATAAATTTAAAAATGACATGTTTTGTTATTATTCTAGATTAGCTATAAGGTTTCTGCTTATCTCATGCATGCATGAATGGATGGATGTTCTTAGTGCTTGAACTGATTGTTTTAATTCAGCATACGTTGTTTAATCTGTGAATGTACTAATAAACATTTATAATCACTTTAAAATACTCTTCTTCTTTTTTTAACTTTCAGGATGAGCTAAACTGGGGGAGTGAGAACTTCATTCAAATCAAGAGGATCAGAGAGGTGCTTAAGCTGTTGTAAAAAAAATTGTCATTTAACTTATTTTGCATGGGAACCTTTTGAGCAACAATTAACTTTGCTTGTTTAAAACAAAAACCGTGTCTTTAAAGCACGTGACAGAATATAGTGTTTTTTATGCGTTCGTAAACTCATCACCTTGCAGTCATCGTGATCCAATAAGTCAGACCTGGGCAGCTTGGGTCAAGGTCTTTTTGAGTGTCTACTGTTCAGTTTGACTGAAGCATAGTTCTTTTTTATTCCCTGCTCAGGTTGCAGAACTGTACGAAGATCTGAAAAAGCGCGTGTCTCAGTTCAACATGCACATCTCAGAGGAGACTCAGGCTTCAGACTACACCAGCACACACAAGCAGAGGTTTATTCTTCAGGTTGGTCTTTGCTGAACAGTGATACAGTACACGTGTAATTTACAAGAGTTTTCAAAGTCAACTTTATTGTCAAAACTGCAATATGTACAGGACATACACAGGATTGATTTTGTTTCTTCTACTTTCTTTCGGCTGTTCCCTTTTCAGGGGTCGTGTCAGCAAATCATCCTCCATCTCACTCTTTACTCTGCATCCTCTGTAGAAGTGATTAATTATTGTATGATCGTACTTGAATTTTCTTTCTCTTTATGAAACGTGCCGCTGCGTATTGTAGATCGTCATCGCTGGTGCCTACTACCCCAACTACTTCTTCCAAGCGGAGATTGATGACAACCTGGCATCCAAAGAGCTGAGTGGCTTCAACCCAAAAACAACTGTGATGGTATTAACTTTATTGTTAGAATAAATACTTTTTGTTCATTACAGCTGAGAATCCTTCAAATATGCAGAGAATTAGATTTTACTGAAGGATTCTCAAAACGTCTCTGTTAAAACGGTCTATGATCACATAAATCAAAGCGTGTTTGAATGGCTCAGCTGTGCTAAATTCCAGCATTATGTTAGCATAACACAATTACAAAAATCTTAAATTATTTGTAAACCTGTTACTCTTGGACTGAATCGTTTTTATGGAGTTCAACTAATATTAATTTATTTTTATATTATGTTTTTATGAACAATTATGCACAATGCATGTATTGTAAAGGAGTGGTTAAACATTCTTTATATGCATATTGTTTAAAAAAGTTGATAATCTCATGTTGTTGTTTTAGTCTGCCTCATCATTCATCAGTCTGTGACTTTCAGGTCCACTAGTTAGCGATAGGTGTGTGAACAAAACATTTTAAAATGTCATTATTGTTTGTTTTCAGGTTAGGAACCTCCCTCCGTACAGTTTTCTGTATTACAAGCAGCTCCAGTCTTTGTTCCGCTTGTGTGGACAGGTCAAAAACATTTCTTTTGAGAGCACCAGGTACCAGGGTCCAGTGGAGCTAAACAGACATCCTCACTCAGTATTTTGTCTTTTCTAACCTTTGCCCCATGTATATGATGTCACTGTGTGTGTGTGTGTTCATGTCCTCAGAGCATACGTGGAGTTCTACAATACATCCGGGGACACGGGGGTCCTGCCTGAGGTGTCTCTTGCCCTCTTCATGGCCAGCCAGAACTCTCCAATGCAGCTTTCAGTCTACCCCACTGACCAGATTGAATCTTGTTCTGGGGGCAGACCAATAACTCACATGAAATTTTCTCGGTTTGGCTCTCTTTACTTTCTGTTGTTGTTTTGACTTTAAACTGTTATTAATTCTGATACTAGATTTATTGTAGCAAGTAAAGTTTAGCTGTGTCTGCTTTAAAGGAAACTGTAACATCTATATTATTGTATTATTTAGGGCCCCTGCACTCAGCCCTGATGTAATTTAACATAATAAACTCTGCATGAGATCCTGCATCAATCCTTGGATTCAGAGGTTTTAATGTTATATGACCAGCTTCATTCTGCTGCCCTCTAGTGGTTGTGAACTCAAATTACACGCTGTGATTCCAATTTTTTTTTTTAAATCATTATCAAGTATTTATTTTTATTTATTTAAAAATGTATTTTACATTCAAACCCTTTGTTGGGCCTATTTTTACAAAAATGGTGTTGTGGTTTCCCATAAGCGACTGGGAAAAAACCCCCCATTTGTTTTGATTCTGAAAATTCTTTGGCTAAGTTTTAATGTTTTGTAAGTTTATTTTTTAAGTCTGGGTGCCCTCTTGGCTTACACATTAAAATAAGTGCAATAAAATATGCCATTAAACCATCACTGTTGACATGTGAGCTGAATGCACGTAAAGATGCTCATACTGTAACATGATAGTGGTCTGTGTTGTCCCTCTGCAGTGTGAATGCAGGCATCCAGAGCCAGTCTGTCTCCCCAGTTGGAGTACTGAGCAGCAGCATCGACCCGGCTAAGCTGCCTTCCAATCGCCTCTTTGTTGTGAACATCACAGAGGTCAGAGTTTGATTACTATAAATTTTCAAGGATAACAACCCAGATGATGCATTTCCAAAAATGTATCGAGCTTATTTATTTAAACCTCTGCTGCAGGTGTTGGAAGTGGGTCGTTTCTGGGGGTTCCCAGAGGATGAAGCCAGCTTGGAAAAGCAACGCCTTCTGACCGGAGAAATCAACAAGCGTACCCTGAACCCTGTGGAGGTGTCTCTCTACCCCAACCTGCTGTGTCTGGCGCCGTACTCTGAGAGCAGTGAGCAGAGTTTGTATTACCGAGCCAAGATCTTGCACGTGCGCGGAAATACTGTGGAGGTGAATGTTCTCTCGTTAAGATGTAACGGTTTGTCCTGTTTATTGTCTTTTTTTTTCTTCAGCATTTCATCTTTTTCCGCAAAGGCCATTTTCTTAAATAAAAAAAATACACTAATGGCTGACAGTTTGTAGCAGAGTAATAATACACATTTAGAGCCTTGAAATACTTAAGTGCAAGTGATTGTGTTTTGGGTTAAACTTAATGGAAGAAAAACAATTTTATTCATGGTTATGTTTTGAGTATTTTTTATGCAATCCAACATGTCCATAAAACCATTTTACACAAATAAAACGTATTCTCCACCCCCAAAAAAAGGAAAAATTTCCAAACGTAATCCATCTAAAGACTTTACAGTCTATACGTAAATAACTACTGCATAGGTTTGATTGATATTAGTATTTTACATACATTTTTAACAAATGATTAAGTAAAATGTTTAAACTAAAGCATGGAAACACACAAGTCTTCAGCATAAAGACTAAAACGTTTGCTTAGAAACAATTGGTGAGGTTCTTGTCATTGTGTAGGTGTTCTTTTTGGACTTCGGCAACACAGCAGTTGTTTCCTGCAACAGCCTGAGAGAACTCCCATCTGATCTGCTGGCTCACCCTTTTCAGGTATTATTAGGTCACAGTGTCAGAAGGTAAGATTTTAATCTTTGAAGTAAACATAATTCTATGTTTCAGGCCCAGGAGTTCCAAATTGCTGAAATGTGTCCATCAGCTCAGTCCGTCATCCTGGGGAACCAGTGGAGCAGCAGTGCCCGCAACCGCTTCATGGTTCTGCTGAAGGATCAATCGGTCATTGTGTCTTTATACTCCATCCTCCACGGCGTCATGCGTGTGGAAGTGTTCATCAACATGGAGTCAAAAAAGACCAGCGTGGTGGACATATTGTTGAAGGAGGGATATGCTGTGAGGGCAGAGGAGAACTTTGATTCTCAGGTGACGTATGGAGGCGTGTTGGCTAATATTTTCTGATAATTTGATCTAAAGAAATTCTTAAAAGGTGTCGTTTTTTTTTAAACACATTCAAGCTTTAGGTTTTGTGATTGAAACATAAATTGTTGGAATTCTCAATATTACAAAATCTGTTTCAGTGCTTTCTTAATAAATAAATACATAACTCTGATGAAGGATCTTTTTGTTCTCAGCAAAGCCACGAGGCACTGATGACTCTGTACAAGGACATGGAGAAAGGACCATATGTTCCCAATTCTGCCAACAGTTCCTGGAAAGAGCGCGAGAAAGAGGAGAAGGAGCTTATCGACAGTCTGCTTGCTCACTTTTCCAAACACCCCCCGTTCGGATCAAAGGTGATGCCAACTGAAGCGAATTTGGTGTGATTAGCACAAAAAGAGGACTTTTTCTTTGATGAAGTGATATATTTTTTAACTGAAGAAAAAACTAACAAGAACTGAAAACATTTATTAAAAAAATGGCCCATAGGGAGAGAAAAAATAAAAAACGTGGGGTGTGGAAGCCATCTGAAATAATACCCTCAATATCCCAAACATTCTTGTTATCGCAACTCTTTTATTACTTTAAATTTGTCCAGTAGGTGGAATTATTTCAGTAGCTCAGTTAAAGCATTGTGTCCACTCAGAGTCACACAGAGTGACCACATCTCTGAATCATATCAATCAGGGAGTGTATGAAGCATCATGTGAAGTCTGAGTGTTTTTCTGGCTTCCCTCAGGCACTTCAGGTTTGTCTGAAAGGACCAACGAGTCCTTACAAGACAAACTTCCACAGCTTGTGCCGAAAAATCTATTGCAGGTGAGAAACTCACCGACCTTAAAATAAAGTTAAACTCTGTGCTGCTGCTGATAAGGAGTGTGTCCTCCTGCAGGACTGTGTCTGTAGATAAGACCAGCATCAACTCCATGGCACTGAATGAAAACCCACACTACAAACATCTGAGGATGTTGGTGGCTGCATCAGTGTCAGTCAACTCCACAGGTACCAGATATAAATAAATGACTAATGCATTTGTGCCCCTTTTATTTTTACATACATAGTTTTTTACATCCATTTTTGTGTATTAAGGTGTTCCATAACGGTTAATCTAAAAGCATTTACAGCTTGAACTGTATGCATGTATTGAAAGGTACACGCATAATGCTGAGAGAAACGTCCATCCTGCCTGACATCCCTGGACTTCCTGGACTGGTAATGATGCTCTTCACCCCCATCATGGAGTTACGGTATGATAGACCCCAGTGTAAAGACTAAAGATATAATTATTGTTCGTGTGCATTACGTTTTGCTTTATTTTTGACTTTTTTAGTACTAATGAAGAAAGGACATGCTACGCTGGTGCTCTCATGGGCTTGGGCTTCAACAACCAAACCCAAGCAGCCATCCTACCTGAGAACGACATCGAGCTGGCCTTTGACACCAGATTTGATGTTGAGGACATCACAGAGGTCAGTGATGGACACAGCGAACCAAAAAGTTAGCTTCGCTAATTCACTAACTAAAAAATTAACGGGGAGCTTCACTAATGTTAAACAGGTGAAAACAATTAGCAGAAACTCGCGCTAAAGCGATTAGATTATGAACCGCTTCACATGTGATTCACAAGTAAAGTGTCCATGTCCTGTTCAGAGGTGAGCTTTCAGAAATGAATGTGGTCCATCAGAACCAAAGAGGCGGAGCAGAACTCTGCTGTGCTGAAGCAGAGTGATGCATTCAGTGTTTGTCGGACGTCCCCCTCGTGTCATTTACTTTAATGAATTAACTCACCTTGGTGATCCTTGTTGTGGTTAACTACTTTTATAAACTAACTACTAAGTTGCCATGCATCATCATCAATATTCTCTCAGTAATAAACCTGTTTGTATTAAAGATGTGTGAAATCATGTGAGAGAGCCACGTCCCAGAGATAGTGTGAGCATTGCAAAGCATGCTGGGTAGGAGTTATGTGTGCAATGTTTCTGACTGTTTACCATGTTTCTGAGTGTGAAAATAGTTTTTTTAAATATTATTTTCCTGTTCTGGTTTGGTTTGGCATTTATGTTAAAGTCTGTTATTGGCTGTAAACTGACACCATGAGTCACAGACTGTTTGTGGTAGATATGAAGGGTACAAAAGCACTGGGTAGCGTAGCATCACTTTGTGTAAATCAGCATTCTCCTGTATGATTTTATAGAGGAGAACTATCTTTAAAAAATAAAGTATCAGACTTGAATTTACCAGATTTAACCTAGCGGATGCTATTTCTGCTAAAAGTATTCAAAGTTAGCGAATGTTTATCTGCTAAACAGAAAGTTAGTTCCGCTGTTAGCCAAACCGTTCCCACCAATGACCAATGGTTGTCATCATCAATAAGACTGACTGACCTAGGAACAGGTCTCCCAGATATTATTATAAACTTGACTTTTTGGTTCTAGTTTTATAATTGACTGAAATAATGAGCCACACTTTTTTTATTTTTGTTGCTTTAAAATTCCCAAAATTTTCATATCTACAAATATTTGTGAAGAGTAGACTGAAAGTATTTTAACAACTGTATTGGGTATTTTATTTATTTTTCATTTTGTGCACTTTAAATTTTCCAACACATTTATAAAAATGTCAATGTTATAGTAAAGCAATTAAAATGTAGTAACTTCTGTAGTTTCCCTATTACATCTCATGAAGATCTACGAATTTGTGACAATTCCAGCAGTGCTTCAGTTTTAGCTTTACATGCAGTAGCAGTCCTTGTTGTTTTTATTATTATATAACATTCTTTGTTGTCTGTCCTTTCAGATAAATGCGTTGCGAGTGGCCGTTAACCGCCTGTTGTGCAACGGTCCCAGAAGCACGCTGCATCTGGGACCTGACAAGATCAGCCAACTTCAGGAGGACTGCCGAGACCGCCTTACCAGGTCGCGTGCACACTCAACGACAAGAAGCAATAAAAAAAATCCTTTTAAGTGATGTGCCATTATTAATAAATTAATGTCTTATTTTGTAGCCTCTTCATGAGGTCTCCTCCAAGAGAAGCTGTCCCTCCACTGTATTACGAGAAATCAGGAAAGTGGAACCAAGTATGTTACAAATCAGTGCTTCTCCGTTCATTTGTAGGACTTCTCACATAATTATCTGTTCTCTACATTGTAACTCCATGTCTCAAAATGTTTTGGGCTTATAGGTTGATCCTTCTCTGAAGATGAACATCGCAGAACCAGGAGATGGAAACACCAGAGGTGTTCTCTTCCAGCTTCATCCGGTCATTCTGCTCAACTAAAACAACACTCCTGAAGGATGCTCCTTGTAAAATGGTACCGTTTTCAGTTTGGTAACAAGGGCAGTTGCTCTGAGTTTTAATTTTATTAACTTTTAGGTGTTCGTTTTTATGTTTACATGAGGCTGTAATGTTCAGCAGCGCAGTGAAATCATGTCTTCTTCTTTTTTTTCTTATTGAAGGAGTTTCCCACTTTACCTTTGTGGCTGTTGAAGTTCATTTTAATTCAGAGTGACCATAGTCTTGTAAGTGTTTCAGCTGTGGGCCATTAAAAATAGTTGTGTGCAACAGATGAGCCTTGTCAGTCAGTCTTCTTCAAACATAGGTTCTTTGTGACCCCCGAGTCGAGTTAAAAATGTCAGCGCAGCAGTTGCACGGACCGAACTCTACTCTGAGAGGCGTGTCAGTGCCAAAAATCAAATGCCTTATATTTATAACTCGCCTTTCAAGTCTTGTCTTATCACCACAAAGTTATCTGATGTGTCACACGGAAACTCGTCTTCAGCTTTCAGGTCACGTTGAGGAAGTGAACTCATCAGAGAGATGGCTGAGATGTTACATCAAGGAACATTTATTTTTCTTATTCTTGTAGTTAAATACATACCGTAAGTGCAAATAGTTAGAGTCCAGGGTCTAAAGAACTACAGAGTATAGTTTGACATAGTACAAAGTTGGACAGTTATTCAAACAAGCTAAATATCACCAGATACTCCTTGTCTTCATAGTAGTTGTACAACAGTACCTAAACGTGAGCATGTGTATTGTTCCTTATAGTTATACAAAAGCAAAAACCCTACAGTTACCACATTTAAGACGCATATCTTAAGTTATTTTGTGCTTGGAAACACCAAAAGGAAATCTTTTTTTTTTTGTTATTTATATATATATTGACATGAGAGAAGCCCCTGTTACTGAGAAACGTGAAGCAGTATTTAACACTGGCAGCAGAGTACGTTTGTGGACATTCAGCCTTTTTATGCTAAACCACACAATTTGTGGCAAGCACTGCAAAAGCAAAAAATAAAAATAAAAGTGTGATTTAAAAACTGCACAAAAGATATCAAATATTTACCCAAGGCTTGACTTCATGCACTTCATAATAAGCAACACAAAAAAGTCATTTTCTTTTTTTCATTTTGATTTGAGTGTACTCGTCTACCTAGAAGCAGGATTATGCACATACGTGTGACAGTGAGTTAGTGTTTGGACTGCTATAGACAGGGTGAAGGCTTCTCCAGTGGATGCTTTTAGAGAACACCAAGATGACACAGCACTACGCCCCACAGATGCAATCAGGCCCCCCCAGCAGTGAGCCTGACTCTTAGCTGGACTGGACCATCAGCTTTGCAGTGACAAGGACAGATTCACTCTTCCTTCCTCTTGGCACCGGGGATCTTTGCCTGGATCCTGAAACCAGAGAAAACACTTTGACGGATGATTTTTTTAATAAGGGACTCAATTTCTAGTAGGACTGATGCTGTGTTGCCGCTCAAAAACAAATTTCAGTTGGTAAAGTTGACTAATTTGCAATTAAACCAAAAAGGATCACTAAAAAAAACAGATTCAGTCTTCAACCTGTGCAGCATGTTTACAACTGGAGCTTGTTTCAACTATCGAAAGGTGAACATGATGGCTTATGGGAGAACTTTTATTTCTTAGTTGCTCCGATCAATGATCAGCACGATAAACTGCAACCACTTACTTCCCCACCACGGAGTTGACCTGGGTTCGTATTAGTCCCACATATTGATCAATTTGTGCCTGAAAGCAAGAAAAGATGTGATGAAAAGCTGCAGAAGATTTCCGAGGCAAGGTTCAACCGAATTACAGTCCTACCTGATGCTTCTCGTAGACCACAGGCAAGGTGAACATGGAGACCACAGCTGAGGAGCAACACAAAGTATTACCAGTAAGTTAACATCCTGGCCTCAAATGGAAATGTGTTTAAAACATGTTTGTGTCAGTGCTTCTGTTGTCTAACGCAAACGGAAGAATTTCTGTGTCAAAATGCTGTACTACTTAATTATCAGATAAAATGAAGTGAAGCAAGAATCGTCTTCTTAACAACAGGCGGATGTTGGAGTGTGTGAGTCATCAGCAGTGCCTGAAAGCTGCAGATTTTGCGTAGTTAAATGACCTCACCTAGGATGAGCAGTGTCAGGCCATTAAACAGAGCGCCCACGTAGGTCAGCAGCCACATCAGAACTGCAAACTAAAAAAAAGCATGATTTGGATTAAATTATATTCTCAGCGGCGCTAAAGGCAAACAACGTGTTTAAATATGAGTTAAACCTTCAAAGAGTCGATCAGATCTTGTACAAGAAACAGCCGGCGGAGCTCCTTCATGCAGGTGTTGGTGTACAGCAGGATTTTATCAGCATATTTACAGATCTGGTCCTGAGACAGGGCGATTTCAATCTCCAGGTAAGCTCTGGTAAGAGAACGAGGCGAAACGGCTTATAGTCTCAAACGTTTGAATAAAATCCACGCTGTTCATCAAGCTTGTTTCACTCACTTGAAGGGATGCCCCTCGTCGGTCTTCTGCACGGCCTGCAGCACAGACTTGTAGATCCTGAAGCTGATGGTTGCAGAGAGGGCTGCCAGGGCTAAGTAGGCTCCGACACTGACCACGCTGAACTGGGTCAGGGAGAAGAGGAGCAGGAGCACACTGCTGAACACGGCACCTGACTGTTTCACGTTCCTCCAGTATAGGAGGTCAATCGCTGAAGAAGAAACAAAAAAAACCAAACAGGTTTTGTTACAAATATTACCTAAGCTTCTACTGTGCATCAAAGTCCTTACGCTCTTGTGCTATATCGCATATTTGGGTCAAATAACTGGAAGCTCTTGACAGCCCAGCATCCTCAGGGAGCTGCGGCTGTCATGGGATTCTGTCTTAACCCAGCTTCCTAACCCAGCTTTTCATGAGGTTTGAGTGAACCAAAAAATAAAAACCGCTGGGTTGTGATTCATTCAGTTTATTTGCGTCTAAAAATAAGAGCGACCTCTGCAGATGATGATAGCTGGCTCAAACTTGCTGAAATGTGTTTGTACAGGCATGTGTGTGGTAGACTTGGTGACCGTTGGAGGTTTCAGAAACACCTGGTTGAGTCTCATACATATACAAACATATATGCAAACACTACACAAAAGGTACATACACCTGAATTCCTGCTCTCCGGATAAAATTAATGATTAAGCCAGAGCTCAGAGAAAGCAGTAGCTGAAATAGTAGCACTATCAGCAGTTTGATAAGAGTTCAATGTGACCTGGCTAAGTAGGCTGCTGTGGTCAGTGATGAAGTATGACGATACATTAGTTTCTCATCAGTGCAGTGAGAAGCCTCACACTCTATGATTGTACTGGAAGAAATGTGAGGAATACACAGCACCAAGATGCATAGAGACAGTACATCTAGTTTTTCCACCACCGTCTTTGGGCGGTGGAGTCTGTAATTCAAAGCCACTCGCAGAGCCGAAAAAGAAGTGATAACCGAGGATTAGTTCAGTGTACCATTACAGCCTCGGCAGCCAACATTTTCTGGTAGCTGTCTGAAAACATGGGCCTGTTTCCATAAGAACCGTCCGCCTGCTTCACCTCTGCTGAACCACTCCTGCAAGTCCAACCGAACACTGGGGTTTATTTGCTGCTTCGTGGTGAAGTTTTGTGTCGGTTATGAAAAGGAGATTGCTGCTGAAGTCTCTTGGGTTTCTTGCTCTTCTCTGAGCTGCCTGCCTGTCCGCTCTAATTTTAGCCTTAGAGCTGTGAGCAGCATAGTGATGACGGCCATCTTTACTCTCCACTAAAAAGGCATCTGTGGATGCCTAAAAGGCAGGCTGGGACTGAAGGGTGAAAGAACTCTCTGTATCTAAAGTTAACGTCTGCTCACTACACATGAAGTGGTCACACAGTTAAATAGCACAACAATAGTGAGTTACAGCCAGTCTGTTCATCCTATGAGTCAAAATCAAACCAGAAACTCTGCAGCATCCGTCTGCTGCTGCTGCTCCCCTCCTTACTGAGGTTATTGCTGTCACCACTGACAAATAGCCCAAACAACATCTGTACCAACACGCACAGATCAACAAAAACAGCAGATATTCCTCCTGGGGAGACGTGTTAGGCGACAGCAGCTTGTGATGTGCTGCAGATTGAAAAGCCTTTAGTTTGCAGTAGAAGTGTGTAGCTACTGACCTGCGGCTCCCATGGCTGAACAGTGGAAAAAGGCAGCTGCTTTATCTACGGACAAAAGGAGAGCGCTGGAGGGGGAGTCCCTCCCCACTCTGCATGGGAGGGGCCACCTCAAAGCTAGCCAACCAATGTTCGCCTGAGCAGCAGGGCTGAAGGGAGGGGGGACGTGGATGGGGTGTGACCGCCAAAGATCCACAATGCCATCCAGCGCACAAACCGTCTGTTAGATCTTTCAGACTTGTGACTACATGCACAAAATAAAAGCACACGGTCTGCAGCTCATGATTTCAGTCGCTGATATTAAAAATTTACTGAGGCTGTGGCTCCGTTAAAATGCCCCGGTGGTCAGGATCTGCTGAGCACCTGCCTGATGCAGTTACCATAGTAACCATGTTCATTTTTCTCTCCTCCAGCCACCGAGAGATGGGAGATTTGGAGAGGGAGGGGCTTAGGAGGGAGGATGGGGAAGGTGAGCGCTCCCTTTGGGAACAGAGAGAAATTAATTTGTTCTGAATATGAGGAATCGGCATCATTTGTCCACAAACCAACCAAAACACCACATAAACATGGTCACTCCCTTTTACTGTGGGGCGCACAGACAATGGCTGGTTAAACACCAGGCCGCCGAGTCAGGACGTGTGAGTAAAGAATGAAATGTTTCATTGACTTAAGCCTGTAACGACAAAATCTGCTTTGAAAGGGTGTTTCAGTGATCCAGACCACAACGTCATGTTCATGAGCCCATTAACAATAAACTGTGTGCCTGAAAATGTGACTGAATTATCACTCAGCTACTGAAGTAGATGGAAATATAAGATCAAAACAATAAAAGATTAAAAACATTCACCTTTTAATTTTAAAAATCACTTCTGCTTATGTGTTAACACTAAAAAGGTAAAAAAATGAATACATTTCTTGATGACTTCACAGAATACGAGCTCACGTCTCCTCCTGTCTTTTATGCAGCATAAAAGTTTGAACACGCTGACTATGGAGCATGTAAAAAACATGTAAAAAACATGGCAGCACAGACACGATTTTTAACCTCTCCATGACAAAAACTTGACACTTTTCTTAAAACAGACAGTTTTGCTGCCTGATAATGCCGAAGAGTATTTTTTACTGATGTTCACCCACGATGAGCAAAAACTGGAACAAACGATTTCCATCATTGATAATAATATAACTTCCCATCCCCCTTTTCTGTAGTGGAACTAGTTTAGCCTGACCTAATTAAATCACAAAAAAACATCCCTGTGGCCTCAAACGAGCCATCACCCAGACTGAAAAATACGTGGACACTTTTCAAACAACTAGTTTTAAAAAGGATAGATCCAATATTTTTCACTGAAAGATATTTGTTGCTCACTTGATGGGTCCAGTTGAAACTAGTACACAGAAAAATGGAGGAAAAAGAGTTAAAATTAAGACATTTTTAACCCTGCCATCTGCTGTGTCATTACTTTGAGTATTTTAGTATTTGTACTAAGTACCTGAGCAATAAATATTGTAATCATTCTTACTTTTTCTTATATTTTGAACACTTTACAACTACAAAAAATATATCTTTCTAAATAAGTCTTTCTAAAAGTTGTCCGAAGCACTAAATGATTTGTGTATTTACATATCTTTATGTACTTGATTCATTTAGAACATGCTGTCTAGATTTAAGTGCAGCAATACAACAATAGTTAAAATTTTACTTGATGCATGGAGATGGAAGCATGTACAAGTAATAATTGTATACAACTGAGATTGTACGCTTTTGCCATGCAACATATTGGATGATTGCATCACACTGAGTCACAGAGATGTGATCCTTTTTAAATAAGTCACACTTTTAGTGATTCAGCTTTGTGTAAGTCTGCATCATAGATCGATCAGGCCAGAGCAGTTTGGCAGAGAATCAGTAATGTGCTCTGCAACAACGATGACTAAACAAAATGCTTCCAGCTTTAGGGTGATATGTAGCTGAAGGTAAATCAGATCAATTCCTTGCTCGATGCTGAGATCAGTGCTGCTGTGTGTTGGCTGTCAGTTTATTCTGATGCCTTTTATGTGCCGTGGACAAATTTGATCAGAGATCGTTATACAGCCAAAGATGTTCACTTGTTAAATGGAGCAGCACAAATAGAAAATGGGTTGTTGTATTCACAGATCTAAGCCGCAATCGGGCGCATCATTCTGAGTTACTGCCAGCTAAACCTAAAAAGAGTGCAGCTGAGAAGCAACACAGTGGGAATGAAGCGGTGCCATTTTCTCTTTCGGCCCCTCCTGTGAGACATGCGTATCACAAAAGCAGACACGTGGATGCTCTTCTCCTGCCCAGTCTCTGCAAGCTGCTATGGAGGCCTAGGAGACAGGGTTGATGTAATCATGATGGGTGTGTCCTGGTTACCATAGAGACTGTCTGTCAGCTCCACTGGGATGCTCAGACTGCCTCCTTTAACCAAAAAAAAAAAAACCTGCATGGGCCATGAAAAACCAGCAGGGAGGGTGTGAACTACAGCATGCCTTGATCAATAACAATGGCATCCATAATTAAATGGACCCAACACAGATGGCGCCAAGCACACTGACGAGCAGATGTGCACATTTACGCCCATCGTTCTCATCTCTCATCCTCATGGTTTCATTGTTAAGATGCACACACATTGAGCAAAAAGGATTCTGTTAAAGGGCGTGCCCATGTGAAACTGCGCGGTTGATTCTTTTAACGCTCACTGCTAAACGCATTCACACACTCAGGACTGTTGCAGTTTTGGGAATATCTAAGCTGCGTGCACAAACAGCAGTCCACCTCTCAGAGCCACAAAAACACAGACGGATGCAGAGTAAATCACAGTAAAGACACCAGTACCCTGGCCCTTCCAGTTGCTCCAGGAGCACTCCTTCTTCGTCATGTCTGCAGTGGCCTGCATGCTGGCGAGCAGTTAGATCCTCGTTCTCACTCGCTCCGTCTCGTTATGATCTCGTTTTCTTCTTTGTCTCCCTCTCCGGTGGAACGGACTCAATCACTCATCCCAGAGAAGCATGAATGGCGGAAAAAAGGATGCAGGAGAGATGCTGAGGCGACAGGGAGGGGGTGGGGGGCGGCAATGAGGGAGGGAGGAGAGGTTTCCAAGGTGCTGCCGGCTCGCGGAGCACAAAGACTGATGCTGTGGAGCGGCGCTGGCTCGAACAGAGGGAGCAGGGAAGAAAGTGCGTACGTGTATTTCTGTGTGCTGGGGGAGGGAAGAGTGGAGGAGCAAATTGTAAACACCACACCACAGTTTCTGCTGCAGCAAACCATCCGTGCGATGATTTAGAGCCTCGGGGGGGTGAGCGGGTGGGTGGTGATGTTCAGGGGCTTTTGTTTCAAAATAAGACTCCTAACAAAGCCCCGTACTAGTAACGGTGGAGGTAGTGGGGGGGTAATCCAACATATAGTTTGTTGAGACACTCGCGCATGTGGCTACATATTTACATCGTTACATCGTTACCAGCAGGCGGTCCTGTTCCTTGTAGCCTTTTAGCATAATAATCATAAACACAGCATGGACCGAATGCTCCGAGGCCCAAAACAGCAATTTATATTCTGATGTTACATGCAGTATGTTTCCTAAAGGCTAAATATAGCCTAACTTAATATCACATTGCACAGAAAGATTATGGCAAACATCCAGCTCTGGTACTTCTTCAGACGCTGCAGTCTCGAAGGTTGTAGTTAGAGACGCATATGGATTTTCCCTCTATGACTCAGTAATTTAAGAGGCAAAGTGGCTGTTCTTAATAATTCATGTTAAGGAACGCCAAAGACTTCGGCTAAATGCTTCTTGTTCATTGCCGTCAGGATGGATTAGTGTTTGACAATTCACAGCACACAGTTGGGACGCAAATGATGAAGAAAAACAGAAAGTAGGATGCTTATAAGCGTAACACATAAAGTGACTGTGTGGTGTGAGCAGAATAGTTTTGATCATTGTTTGATCTCATCTTCAGATCCTGATCCTAACAACCCCCTCCCCTGCAGACAGCCACACCTCACACCTTCTGCTTACTGGAGCCTGGGCTGACATCGATGCAAGCTGCGACCGAGGGAGAAGCTAATTTTTCCAAAACCAGACGGTGCATACTCCCTCATCACGGTTGCTATGGTAACTGGTGTGGAGGTGCACCGACTGATGACATAAATATATCTGCTGGCCTTTAAAGGAGCAGCAGGGATGAAGGTGCACTGCTCCCTCTAGCGGCGGAGAAAAACAGGTGACCTGCTTTTGTGTTATTTCTAGAAGCTTCTTGGGGTCAGAGAAAACAAAACAAGAGGGATGCACAGTTCATATACATTATTAATGCTTGTTTAAACCTGCATTAAATAAATATGAGCTTAGAGGCCAATAGAATTTAAAACATTAATGCAAAAAAATTATATAAGTAAAGGCGGCTTTTGAATCTCCACATTATGACATCATATATTTATGTAAACTCTGGTTTACTTAAATAAACTGAACAACTAGCAAAGTGAAAATGCTTTGTATCTAACAATTTAACTTAAAAAGCAGTAGCTGTCTACTACGACTTCAAACTCATCTATCCACAGGAAGGAGAAGAGATGTATGAAGGCAGATCATGTCGAGATGCAAAAGGAGCTTTGTCCTTAATTCATTATATTTTTACAGACTGAGTTGAAGTTTTATTTATTAAGAAAGAGCAAAAATGTGAGTGAAACCAGTTTCCCCTGCTGTTTGTTGGGAGGGAGTCCCTCTGTTTTCCACCAGAGGGTAGCAAATATAGACAGCATACCAGAATCTCCTTCCTCCCACTCATTCTTCAGAGGCACCCCCCACTCAGATGAACATCTCACTTTATTGTACACAAGACAGGTTCAGGCTCTGAACACAAATCTACATGCAATCAAGACCTTGTTAAGAAATTAAAGAACACCTCAGCACTTTTTTTGTTTTGCTTCATGAACGAGCAGCTGATGGTGCTAATGGGTCAATATAATTTGACAAGTAAATAAAAATCCTTATGTTTCCAAAACACTTGGAAAAAAAAAACAACTAACCTTTTTGTTTGCTGAAGCCCTCCAAGAGAATCGACACAGCAGGTTTTCCTGTGTCTCCTTTGCCCTCGGTGGTGGGTTTGTGCATGTCCTCCTGCTGTTTTTTCTCTGATCTCACCTCTGGAGGCACAGCAGCAGTTGGGGGCTTTGGCTTGCTGTAACGATCCTCCTCTGTTTTCACCGGGTTCTTGACCTTTTCAGCAATCAGGGGTTCGACTGAGGCTGCTTCAGCGGTACTGCGGGGAGGACTGGTGGTGGGAACCAGAGGGGAGGGAGGGGTGACTCCCTGCTTGAGGCCCTGCTCTCTCTTGGGGCTTTCTTCAGATGCAGACTCGATGATGAGATCACTGTCGAGCTCGGCCTCTCTCTCCTCCCTCAGAATGCTGTAGGCCGTGGGTGGAGCGTGCCCGCCGGTGAGGCCAAAACCACCCTTGGCAACTGGAGGATTGTCAAAGGGGTTGTTAGCCTGGCTGAAAGTGACTTTGCTTTTAGGGGGCTCTGCAAATGGGTTGCTACTGGTCTTGGGAGGCTCTTCAGACACGAGCTCAATCTCTGAGTCTCCAGACTCCGCGCTGCTGCCGTCGTGGTCCTTACTGCCAGGCTTCGTGCCTTGGTTGTTTTGGGGAGTTGTAGGTTTTCCTGCTTCGGTCTTGAACATGTCTTGAGAAGAAAATCCTTTACCTGTTCACCAAGAAAAAAGAAATGTCACTGATGTCTCGATTCATTTTACAAATCTAAGCACAAGCTGACGTTCAGACACGAGGACATGACTGCACTAGTTTAGCTGACTGTATTACCTGTGGTGTTGATGTCACTGGTTGCTTGCGTACAATTAGCTAGGAGGCCAAAATATAAATGGCAGGTTCACTGCCAATTTACCAGTTTAAAGCTTGGGGTGTGAGTCAGTGCTGGGTGATAAGAGTGGAATTACAGTCATCACTTTTTGAAAATTTGCTGTCTCAGTGTTGAGGTTTTGTGCTGATTCTGTGTGTTTTTGTAGTCCATGTTTCCACAGTGTTGCATTTTATTACCTCTATTGTAGATTTTGTTAAAAAAATGTATTGGTTTTTATGTCCTTTGCACTTGTTTTCTTTTTTGGTTTTGCTTTGTGCTCACAGCACATTTTATTTTTTTCCACACCCGCCTTTGATTAATCATTACTTCCCTCGCTGTATATTTAGCTCCAGTTTTTATTTGCCAGTTTTTCCCCATACTTGTCCTTCCTTTTTCCATTCTTGAATTTTTTTGGGGGAGAGGATTGCTTATTTCATCAAATTATGTGTTTGTTTCTTTCCCATCATTCTTGTCCCTCAAAATTTACATTTACCACAACATATATCATATTTTTCGGCATACAAGTCTCTCCGGAGTATAAGTTGCATCAGTCAAAAGAAAGCATCATGAAGAGGAAAAAAACATGTCGCTTCGGCGTATAAGTCGCATTTATTATGCATCATTGCTGACCCGTCGCGTTTATTATGCATTTATTTAATGGTCAAAACAGCTTCATTTCCCCCAGGCGGTCATCTATCCATCACAGCCGGAGCTGCTAGCTCTCCAGCATCCCTGCGCCTGCACCAGATGAGTGAAGCAAGCGTGCATGGAGGACTTGCTGTTGCAGATCTTCGAAATGTTAAAGCAGCAGTCAAAAATTGCATTATGAATATGGAAAAATATATATACTTGTATATAAGTTGCTTTGGCTTATAAGTCGCAGGACTGACAAATCTATGCAAAAAAAAAAAAAAAACGGCGACTTATACGCCGAAAAATACTGTAATATAAGATTACAAGACATAAAAAGTTTCTTTTACTCATCTGGACAGGTGAGACAGGTGTTTGTGTGTGAGTTTGTGCTTACGTGTTGGTGAAGTATTGGGAGTGGAAGAGGGGCTGTCGTCCTCCGGCTCCGACAGAGTCACTGTGGGAACCCCCTGTTGACCCACGCTCAGGACGTTTTCCCGCTCGGAGACTGGAGGAGGATGTTGCTGCAGCTCAGCCTTATAACCTGGAAGCTGGGACTCGGTCAGAGTGATCTTCACCGGGCTGGCTGTCTGCGGGGTCCCACCCAGGTTCCGATAGGAGCGGTAATCTGTCAGCTCCTCGTCAGATGGATCCTCCACATAGGGGAAAGAGTGAGAGCCCAGTGCTGGACCAAGATTTTCTTCCTCGTCGTCATCTTCATCCTCGTCATCTCTTCCAGGGCTCTTGTCCATGTAGCTGCCCAGTAAATCGTGATCAGCTGGGCCTTTGTCAAAAATGTTGGGTGGAGCCCCCTGGTGATGGTCACGGGGCTCTTCTCCATGGCTGATGTCCATGTAGTTGTAGGATTCTGTCTTGTCTGAGCCCAGCAGAGGTTTTGGCAGGTCATCCAATAAGCTGGAAGACATCTTGCTTTTGGAGTTGAAGTCGTAGGTGTCACTTGAGAAATGATCCAGGGCAGAGGAGTGGTTGGAGGGCTTCAGGTCGTCCGACAGGTAAGAGGCTTCCCGGCCAGTTGAGAAGCTCTGATTGGACAGCAGGGACGTGTAAACATCACCGTCGTCATTCACGGGCTTCCTAAACAGGCCAGACATGGGATCATCTACAAAAACAGACAGAGAGAGTCAGAGACAGAGGACCTGACTTAACTTTTTTTAGACTCCGGGACAGCGTTCTTTAGGTCACGGAACTGAATAAACCCGCCAGTCTCTGAGCAGAGCGATTAATGAAAACGACAAGTTAAACAAAGCTAGACTTTAGCCTGTGCTGCTGCCAGAGACGGGGACTGTGTCCCTGTGAGAGTCGAACTGGGCAGATCACTGAGGACACGGACACAGAGCGTACTTGTACCCAACAACGGACAAAGACAGATTGTTCAGCCACCCCTAAAAAAGCCACAAAACACAACTATAGTCTGTTCTAAATCATACCAGCGAAGGGCTGCCTGTAGTCACATTTGAGCTTTTAATCCTGCACATATTACATAAAAACTCTCCTTTCAAAATTGAAGCAAGGATAAACCTGTAGTGACTGATAGATCTCAATACTGAATGCAAATATAAGAGAAAACCTCCACTGAAACTGAACACAGTTGCAGCATGTTCACCAGTGTGTTGCATCAGCTGTTTTTCACAACACTGATTGTTTGAGCACTGAGGAGACCAGTGCTTTTATTTTTGTTTATTTGAAAAGGATCACAGTTCTCCTTTGGTTTTATTCTTTCTTGGACTTCTTCCTCCTGGGCGACAGGTCTGGACTGCAGCAAATGGAGTTGCAAAAAATAAGCAAGGCGTTCCCTGAAAAAGGTGCTACTATAAAGGTGTGCACACACATGTCCGTGTTAGCCTTGCCATGTGTCCTTCTGCACATAAATATGCAAATTAGCATAAATTTTGACCTAACCAACCAAGTGTTTCTTAATAGCATCACACACTTCCAGCCATGTGTTGCCTCTCTACAAATATTCAACTGACTGGTAGCAAATTTAAAAATCAGTGTTCTTATAGGAAATATAAGAGCATAGGGGCGGCTGTGGCCGAGTGGTTAGAGCAGTCGTCCTCCAATGCAAGAGTTGGGGGTTTGATTCCACCAGCAGTCACATGCTGAAGTGTCCCTAGGAAAGACACTGAACCCCTCATTGTCTCCGATGTGTGTCCCATCGGTGTATGAATGTGATACAGCACTGATTATTCTTTGTAAAGATCTAGTAGAATGCTGTATGAATGATAGAAAAGTGCTATATAAGTGCAGTCCATTTATGAAGGTTTAAGTGATTTGCTTTTTTTAATTTTCTTCTTGAAGACAGGTTTTATGGGAATATTAGTTGCTGTGCAAGCATAAATGTTGTTTGCGTTATGTGTCTGCATTCGGAAGATGGCTTCAAATACTGTATTAATAAGTTATTGCTTGGGTGCAGTCATAAAAATGTACCACAACATGTAGAAATTTCAAATAAGAAGTGGTGCACTTATTGTTAGAACATTAAAGTTCAGTTTTAAAGTTAAATTTTTGTATATATTCACATCCAATTTCATCAACTAAACAAGCGTTGTGTCAAAAAAGTGAACACTTGGAATAAAGCCGCACTGTGCAACAGCAAAAGGTCCATGTCCTGTTTGCAGCTCAGAGTTTATACATCCACAAACTCCTCCTCCTGCTTCTCCAGTCCTGCTTCTCCAGGGCAGCGGTTTTGGTGCTATAAATAGGCTGAGTCCAGCTGCTGAGCTGGATGAGAGGGAAAGAGTTAAAATAGCAGCCTCAAAGTGAACTCCAGAGGATGCAGACTGATATTCAGAAGACTCAACAGGTCAGGACGTCCCGTCCCTTCTTTGGCTTCCTCTAAAGAAGCTCCACCACCCCTGCTTTCAACGGCTGCTCTCTCAGTCATTAACAATACATCACAGCACAGCACTGAGGCATAAACACCACGGTCCTGCACTGGGATAGGAGGAGCGCTGATAGCAGAAAAAAAACAAAGCAGGCCTAAACATGTTTCTGCTTCAGGTTATTTTGCATTAAATGGACTGAGATGTTTTATGGATCCGCATGTGAATATTAAAACTGCTGGTGGGGCACGCTGAATTTAGTGCCATGCACGCCCTTGATGTACTGCTGAAGTTAACCAATATATAATCCTCTTAGTGCTCTGCCGTGGTCTCATCAGTCATCACTCTGGCAACCCCATCATAATCTGACACATTGATTTTCTGTCTAAATAAGTGCTGTGCAGTGGGAAGCACTCAAAGCCACTGCACACGGCAAAGAACGGTGACCTCTGAGAGCTGCTTGTAATCCGATTGACCGTACGCACCCACCCCACCCTTATTCTCATCAAACCCTTCTACGTTACATGATAAATATACCAGTTGCATCAAGCGTCTGCAGTAGTTAAAAGCCGACGTGCAAGCTCTGTGCTGTTGTTTGAAACTTGTTGGGAGATCGGGTGCATTTTGAATCTGCTGACGTGACAGCACAGACGCGCACACACACGAAGCCCCCACAAGGCTGAGACAAACGCTTCACTGCAGTCGGATGGAATTGGGCTTGACAATGGAGGTATTGTGTTGTGCTGTTGTTGCCACACGGCACATTCATGCCACTGAAAGGATGGGGCAGCTAGATAAAGTCCTGGTGGATGTGCTGTGGAGTGGAAGCCCTTTGGTTGTCCTCTGTGCAGGCAGTGCAGCTCTGAAAGTAATGCAGCCTGACAATCTGTGCCATGCCAAGACACAGCCTCCTAATTATCAGGCAACGGAAAAACAAAAAAGCATAGAAAACATATGAAGGGAGTAAATTTAATACAGCTTGGTTTAAGAAGCGCACTCGCTGCTATTATTTTGTTCAAGTCTTGGCACATCACATTTGTGTTTCTTGCAGGAACAGATGATGTTGCCTCCACACGCCACCCAAACAAGCTGCATTTCAGCTTTTCCTTGAGGCATCTGTGACTCTGCAGCTCCGTAACAACTCCATTACTCGAGCTGTGGTCTTATCAACTGTGGTGTTATCTTTCAGGAGTCCTCTTTCACAGCACGACCTTGTGGAAATCAATCCATCGCGACACTTTCTGCGCTCTTATTCCAAAGCCATCTGTGCCTTTGACAGTAAATAACATACTCTCTCAGTATATTTAGAACCATGGCGCTGCTTATAATTTGTGTGTGTGTGTCACCAGAGGACAAGTCAAATATATTGTATGAGAGGATGGATATGTTGTTTACAATGACACTATAACAAAAAGTATTTTTCCTTCTCTTCTCGTATACTAGTATAAATTACCTGTACAGTGCATGCAGTCATAATAGCTGCATGTACAAACTGTGTATTGCTTTAAGCTGTAAAAGAAAAACGACTAGAACTCAAATCTATAGTTGATGAGATAAAAACTTGGATGAGTTAGCAGCTGAGAGTCATCTCCAACACATAGATGAACACTAACAGAGCTTGCGAGCGCTTGCAGTATTGCATGCGTACCTTCATTTACTAGATTTGACCCCATGGATATCCTTTCTCATCATAAGATTTCAGTTCAGAACTCTAGCACAAAAGGTCATTCATTGAAGGAATGCCAGATTTAATGGTTTCGCTTCCAAATTTTGGTGCGTATGTTAATAATGTATTGATTACAACAAACCTGGCTCACTAATGACCTCACTTTAATGCTGGCCTTTGATAAAAGGATGACTCTACAGCGATGGAACAGAAGTACAAGCAGATGTCGACAGAAGAGCTGCTCTGAGGTTCAGCTACATTGATCCAAGACAACAGGGACGAGCAATTACTGTAAGAACCATCAATGTATTTTGCATTTTTGTAGAAATTATTACTAAAGTTTTCCCTGGACAAATACTTGTTTGCCATTGTTAAACGTGCATAAAGTAGGGAAAAAGTAAAAGCCAGTAAAAGGTGTGAGTGGAAAGCACACACTGAAACATAGAGCTACACACGGAGAGACCTTAATATGAAATACAGAAACACAAATGGATAAAAATGTCAACTAACAGGGAGCGTAAAAGAAAACAGACGCTCACAAAGGATCTCAAAGAAGCTAATAAAATTAAAGAATCGCATAATAATCAAAACAAAAACACAGATATGACTCATTGTAGATGGATCTGTGGTGTTTCTGCTGTGAGTGCCTCTGATCTAATCCCAGGAGTTTTGCACCAGCCTGCTCAGGGACTTCTCATGTGAAGAGCTGCACGTCAACAGAGCATCGCGTTACACATGATGGATCGCAACGATGTTTTGTGTGAACACATCCAAGGGTCGTTAAAAATTGTGACTCGTTGGTCTCGTTAAAGCAGGGATGCTGCACTGCAGCTCATGCTGTTTAGAGAGCTTGTTTGAACTTGAAACGCAAAAGTCAGCTGTAACCCTCAGAGCCTTACTGCTGATCTCGAAACACCTTTCTCAGAGAAAGATGCTCTAATAAAAGCAATTTGAAAGTTCTGGGGAGGTTTCTTTTTTCAGTTCACAACCTCACCTCTCCCCTCCAGCTGCTTACATCTTTATTTTAAAGGACCTGCACCGCTTGAGCATCTCCCTGAGGGAAACGAGCCCAGCTCTCAGCAGCACAAATGCACTGTGCTGTTTTATGCAGCCTGGCAGATTCATCTAAGTGCTTCTTCTATCCAAAAGATATGGAAAGGACCCTGTCAGGCATCCAGTGTACTGTTTCATCCCTCTTAGTGCTGAAACAGAGACTCAAGCTTAATCCACCTCTCAGACACTGGATTACACAAGAAACGTCTCGTCGCAGCCGAACAAAATTGCAATGTCACTGCTCGTGCACAACAAGACAGTTCCTTGAATGACAGGGTGAATGTCAAAGCTGTAAGTCTGTTAACTCAGCTGACTGTTTTAGCACATTAGACTTGATCGTGACGCAGCACAACTTTCGGCACGCATTTCTTTCGGGCTGCTTGTGCCTGATGTAGAAATTGAACATAAATAAGGCCGAGTTATCCCGCACTGTCAGAGATTGCAGGGATCTGAACCTTTAATGTGGTAATTTAGCTGATGGCAGCACTATCTGTTGTGAACAAGGTTTAAGACAGGCTCGGATCAAATGTTGCCAAAACAAACGATGCAGCGTTTCACAATTCATTCTAATTTATAGCGTCAAATGATTTTTTTGGACTCGAAGTAACACAAAAATTGACAGCATATCCTAAAAAAAAACCATCAGAACTAAGATGATGGAGTTGTAGTTGTTTTGGTGAAAAGTAACATTATGAGCAACATGCAATAAGAGCTCAGGTTATGTGCTGTGAATGACTCTCAGCTACTTCCAAACCAAGTTTTAGCTCGATATTTGTAGAACTGACCGAGTTATAGCCATTGTTGTGTTTTCTAAGGTCGCTGGCTGCGTCAGCCATCTTTTGAGTGGTGTTGCTTCAAAACGTAATCAGTTGTAGATGTACATCCACTGAATATTTCCTAGAACCTTCGTTAAATCTGTTCTGTGCTTCACGAGAAATGTTAAACACAGTTGACGCTAAAAAGGAAATGGCAACGCTTAAATGAATATTTTGTGCAATTTGATTGGAGACTGGTCTCAGCTGCCACACAAAATTTCACTTTAATATCTTTAAAATTGTCAGAATTATAACAGTTTTTGTGTTTTTGAAAGTACTTTGACTGTGGCAGCCATCTTGAATCTTATGCAGATGCACACCCAATGATTATAAGCTTTATTGTTTTTTTTGTCCAGTGGTTTTTGGAGATATTTCGCTAACGGACAGACTCATGAACACGCCGGCAAAAATGTTTGTCTGCCTTTGCCTTAGTTCTTAAGCGTAAGCTGAACTGGACACCATAAAGTGTTTGGTTGAGCAGGAAAAATCCAAACTGATTGGAAAGATGTGACGTGAGCTGCAGCGCTCCCACCAAGAACAAACGTGACAGGACAGATTACTTCACATTACGAGCATGGCTCAGTGGGAGTAGCAGGAATTTAAGGCTATTCCTTTCTCGTTTAGAAACCAAAACAAAGCGTGCACGTTTTTGTCTGTGTGCACGTACACAGCTGGTCTGGCAGACTGCTGTGAAAGTAGAGCACATGCTTTGTTTACTTTTCCAGGAGAGTGAAACTGAGTGGTTACTGCAAAAATTAATAAATATATTTGAACAAAATGTGGATTTTACACTTTAGCTTCGAACGATAAAGCTCTACTTTAAAAATAAATTAAGGGCTTCAAGAAATTGAAGTCTAATTTATGCATTCAGCGATGTCAGGCCTTCAGAATTTACATTAAAAGGATGATTTCTATTATGTTTTGGATCAGGCGCAGCATGCCAAATGAGAAGGAGCCTGAGTCTGGGTTGAGGTTTTTTTTAAAGCATAATCTCATGAATTTTTCAGTGGGTTCGAGAATAAAACTGCAGGGTTGACTAGTTTTGCTCGCCAAGTGAATAGAGAGCCATGTTGCTTCAGGAGTAAAAATAGCAGCTTGAGCTGGAGGTCGTATAGGCTTAAAACTGAGTTTATGTTTAATAAAACTCACTAATTAACTGATATAGCAATAAATAAAGTGAGCTAAGGGACAATTTTCCTTTAAGGGGAAATAAACATTTTAATAAAGTCTATTTATTGTTGATAACATGCAGAATTTGGCTGTTTTCTTGTCACGTGCTAAAATCTTGCTTCAATATGTAAAAAAAAAAAATCGAGAGCACTGAATTATCAACAGATCATGTTTCATCAACTTTCGATTGCAATAAGAAAAACAAACATTAAGTGCTCTGTTGCTTGATGTTTTATATCATGCTCAAACCACAGCTATTGGAATATTTCAGGAATATTAGTGTTTCGTGTAAAAGTTGTTTTCATCCTGCCGTGTTTGGTGTTTTCAAACCAAGTATTTCTTTATTTATTTTACTCTGCATGCGCACCAGCTGACAGGAAGGCCGCCCGCAGCCTCACTGCGTCTTTAAAAACCACAGCATTGTTTATATTCAACACAACGTCGCGTGATGTGCCTCAGTTAAAACACACGAGCCCTAAAGGTGAAGATTTGCTCGAGATGTGCGCGAGTTTTACCTGTAGATGCAGTTTCCATAGCAACGCGAGGCCTTTCCCCGTCGTCCTGGAAAGGATGGAAGTGTTTATCCAGGTCGCCCGCCGCCTCGCCGCCTCTCGGCTTGAATTCCTCACCGAACCGGGTCGGCGGACCGCCGAACAGGCCGCTCCTCTCGTAGTCGTCCCCGAACCACTTCCCCTCCGAGCCGAGCTCCTCAGCGGACATGCTTGTTTCCGGTTGTCGGACGGAAGCTAGAATCGCCGCGGCTGCTCCTGCGGACTTCTCTTTCTGTTTCGTGCGTTGTGAGGAGCGCGCGTGCGAACAAAGCGTCTCCCGGCTGGTTCTGTGTCAGCTGCCGAACCTGGGTGTCTGTAGCGCGCGCGCGGGCTGAGGCGGAGTGTGCGGTCGGTTCGGGAAGCAGGAGGGAGGTTGATTGTTTTAGTTCACTGATCCGACGCTGACGTCATGGTGTCTCAGGGCTGGCACTTTGTTTGAAACATGACACATTATATATATATTTAGAAAGAAAAAAAAAACACTAGCTGGTGAAAATGGCTGCAGAAACGTGTCTTAATATCCAGAAAGGCACGCGCAGGTGTTATTTTGAATTAATGACGCTTAAAAAGAAGCAGCATCTAATCTGTGGTGTTTGTTTTCACAGTGTTGCATGCAGACTGTCCATTAAGGGTCAAAGGTTGTGCTCACAAACATGGACAAAGAATGAAACAAAGTGCCTATAATTAAATAAGTGTTAAATCAGTGTTTATTGCTCCACAGGAGCTTTGTCGTAAGCATATATTATCATAGAAAATAACAAAACAAAAAGGAGAGGATTGACCAACTTAAATGCTGTTTTCATTGTTCCAATTTATATTTAAGAACACTGCATATTCTTTTTAAATGTTGGATTTCTAAAATGAAAATATGGCTGATAGCAACGGGACTGTAAATATCTAATGTTTGGGCAAATTGCATTCTGGACCTTAGAAATGTTCTTCTTCACTACAAATAATGATTTAATGTATTGCTCAAAGCACACATACAGATATGAGAATTAGTCTTGCGCAAATACAAGTGGGTTTGATGATTTACCAAAGGGAACAGCGACAGTAAGTATAAACACACAAAAAAAGCATGGACTACATAGAATATTTTCTCAGAGTCTCATAAAATGAGGGAGAGCAACTCCATGGAGAGAAACAGTTTATATCAGTTGTCTGATTCATTGGGAAAATGAGGAGGATTTAATGTATTTACATTTTTAAAAAATGTTAGAAGTTTTCATTTATTGATGAGGTAATCTATTGTGTGATACATTTTCTTGGCATAATCATATTTCACAGGTTTGTGAGTAAAGTTAGGTGTGGAGCGCCCCCTGCTGTCAGATCAAAGTATGAACAAGGTCTTCCATAGCAACCAAACGCTCGTGCCTGGATACAACGGTTTGTCAGTTCAAATGAACCAGCGAGGTCTTTCCTTTATAATGGACTACGGACTCTATTTTATTTGGTTTGAAAGATTCACTTTAATATATTTATGTTGATTAGACTAAAGGTTAATTAAATAACTAAAGGTAAATTAATGTATCTGTCATTTAAATAGTTTGTGTTTACTCTTTCTGCGACAGGTGAGCTAAAAAGTTTGCTAGCAAAGTTAGCATCATTGTGCATGTACACTTGCTGTTATTGTTCCTGTTACAGATGGGTTTACAGTAATCATCCTTACCTCACATGGAAAGATTTGTTTATGTCTTTGTAGGCCACTGTCAGTAAAATGAAACAGGGTGAAGATGCCGAGGAGGAGGTGAATAAAAAGCTGGTGAGAAGAAAAAGGGTCCATGTCATGGCAAATGTTGAATAAAGACAAAATGCAATGCTACAAAAAAGTTTTTATTTATTTAGATAAACATCGTAGAAAGCCAAGGCTTCAAATGGCTACAGATTTTAATTTATTTTTTTTACACCAAAATAATAATATGAAAGTTATTTAATAAGTGTTAAATATATTTTTGCAATAGGTTAAAACCTCCTTCCAGCCACATTATTTAACAACTTGTTAGTGCACTTTTCATAATTTGTTTAATGTAACTGTTAAAATATGGTTATAAATTATTATTAGGTCATGCTGAAAATAACTGTCTTCTTTTCTTGGCAGTGCCTGTTTAATGGGTTGTCCTATGACAAATGTGCAAATGAAGGGAGTGACATCAGGTCACTGGAAATCTTCTTTTCTGGTTTCCCACGAATGCTTGGATTATCCGTCTTCCCAGAGCTTCGCCAGCTTACCATAGTGGGCCAGGACATAGATCACATAGAGGGGCTTGAGTGCTGCCCTCTGCTCCAGGAGCTCTGGGTCGTCCAGTGCCGTCTCACTGTGAGTTTGTCATAAACATATTTGAACAAAATCAAGTAAAACCTGCATCAGCAATGTCAGTATTGTGTTGTCTTCACACGTCTTACGTCCAAATAAATTAAAATACAGTGTAAGAAAGACAGTGAGCTGCATCGGTGAATGATACACAGTAGAATGACAGAAAGACTGAAGAATAACCTGTGTCACATGTGTTTTTACTGCAGGAAATATTTGGACTACAAAACTGTCAACAACTGGAGAAACTGTATCTGTACGAAAATCAGATTTGTGAGATAAAGAATTTAGAATTTCAAGTCAATCTCAAAGTCCTGTGGCTCAATAATAACCGCATAACAACAATAGAGGTTTGAACTATAAATTACCTGCACAATATCCATCCATCCATCCATCCATCCATCCATCCATCCATCCATCCATGCATCCATCATGTTTTGTCATTCATAACTGGTTGTGTTCTCTTAACCTTTAAAGGGCTTCAACACACTTAAATCTCTTCAGGAACTAAACCTTGCTGACAACATTATTGAAAAGATTGGTAAATTGGTCAGATTCTCCCTTTTGTTGATATGTTTGATGATGATTAATAAGTTATTACTAAAAAAAATTCAAATATGTTTTTCTAAACCCTGTTTTTAGGCCACAGCCTTGATCTCAATGTCAACCTTGAGATTCTCAATCTCTCCGGGAACAGGATCAGCTCCTTTAAGGTGAA